CAAAGGATATGTGCTCTTTAAAACAAAGGGCATTTACCCTCTTTGCCCTTTTTTCCTGACCTAACCCACCCCTATTTAGATACACAATTAGCAAAGTCCAACAGCCACAGCCTCCAGTGTTAATATCCTGGCTGTGCCTGCAGATTATTGCCCCGTAGACTTCAGTGAGCCCCATAAACCTCAGTGGCACCCTATAGACCTTAATGGGACAACACAGACTTTAATGGAACCCCATAGACTTCAATGGGGCCATCTACCTTCATGTTCAGTCTTGAGGCATAATATATTAATATGCAGATGTGGCCAGGAAAAGTAAGACTTGCAGCGCTGATTGTAAACAAATACTGGAGGCTGTGTCCATCTAATTGAGTTAAGCATTCATCCATGGAGAGGGAGGGTGGGTAGGTTAGGGTAGGGTAAAAGGGGCAAAAGGCATAAGTGTTCTTTGTTTAACAGTTGCACATACCCTTGCTTGTAAGGCTAAATTATTGGGGCAAAGTGACAGTGTTTCCACAAACCCCCCCCAACCCCATCATACTCACCATACCAGCCCTCCCCTGCTGACGCTTTTTCTACCATTGCACCCGTCCACAAGCAATAAAGGGGTCAAAGGGGCCTTTCCAGAGACAGCTCCCTTTTCTCTTTGAGGGCTCATTCCTATGGCCACAGAGGGCCACATATGCGCTCACAGGTGTTCCATACAGTGGCAGCCAATAGGCACTGAGGTTCCCCCCAATTGGTAACAGACCCTTTAGGTCTGATAAGAATGTTAGGCGGGACCCCCCACAAGTTAAATATAAAATAAGGGACGTAGGGTTTGCCCCAACTGTCATTCCAGGACCTTAGGTCTGGTAGGAATTTTAAGGGGGAACCCCAGTCCCCGAAAATGAGGGGGGGGGGGATATGTGGGGTCTGCCCTAAAATTCCTACCAGACCTAAAGGGCCTGGTATGACTTTTGGGGGCAACCCTACACACTTTTTTTTTTTTCAACTTGAGGTCCCTCCTAATATTCTTAGCAGATCTAAAGGGTCTGGTATCAGTTGGGGCGGAACCTCATGCCTTTTTTTTTCTTTTGTCTAATGTCACTTTGCAGCAACGAAAATTCCTTCATAATGAAAATTTGAATCCGAATCCCGAAACAAATTGACTTTCAGACCCGAATTCTGAAAAACGAAAAATCTTTTTGCCAGCGCACATCTCTACCAACATACCTCCCAGCAGCTGTGTGTTGCATGCTTGCACTTTTTTTTCCCAACGCAACGCACTGTGTTGCAGTACCATATGTTGCATTGCGCTGCTACACACAACCACAGGGAAGTGTGTTGGGGTACCATTCTGTGTCATTGCATTCAATGCATAGTACCGTGCATTTAGAGCATGCTATCCCATGGCACAGTTAGAGTGCGGTACCGTGCGCTAGGAGCACTGCCATTCATTTAAATGGAACCCCAACATACCTCCCTGCAGCCATGTGTTGTTTGCATGCACTACTTTTTTTTCTGTGCAACGCACTGTATTTCATGTTGCATTGGGCTGCCACACACAGCCACAGGGAGGTGAGTTAGGGTGCCATTCTGTGGCATTGCATTAAATGCATGACACCGTGCATTTAATGCATGCTATCTCATGGCGCCGTTAGTGTGCTGTACCGTGCGATAGGAGCATTGCCATTCATTTAAATGCCTCCCAGCAGCCGTGTGTGTGTTGCATGCATGCACTACTTTTTTTTCAACACAACGCACCTTATTGCTGTACCACTTGTTGCATTTTACTGCCACGCTCGACCATAGGGAGATGTGTTGGAGTGCCATTCAATGACGTTGAATGGCGTTGCATTAAATGCATGATACTGAGCATTTAAGACACACCTAGAATGCAGAACTGTGCACTAGGGGCATTGCCATTCATTTTAATAGCACCCTGACATTAGTGATGGGCTCAGGCGTGTTCGCAGCTCCACGTGCCGAGCCCGCCAGGAAGCTGACAGCGTGCAGCTGCAGAGATCGGGAAATGTCTCAGTGCCTGTGATTGGCGCTGCGTGCTGTCAGCTTCCTGGCGAGCTCGGCACGCGGAGCTGCGAACGCGCCCATCACTACCCGACATACCTCCCAGCAGCCGTGTGTTGCATGCATGCATTCTTTTTTTCAACGCGTTACCACGTGTTGCATTGTGCGTCCATGCACAGCCACCGGGAGGTGCGTTGGGGTGCCATTCAAATGAACGGTAACATAATGCCCCTACCTCACAGTACCCCACGCTAAGTGCATTGAGCGACAGGGTTCGTTTAACGCAACCTCATGGTGTAAACCGGCCCTTTAATACACATTATCAACTCGTGTATTTTATTTCTGGTGTGAACCCTGACTGACAAGTGACTTCTGAAGAAGCCCAACATTTGATTGTCTTCAATGCCATGAGATGTCCCCCTTCACTGGCTGGTCAATGAAAAGTGAAGGCAGATAACACATAACAGCTGGTATCGCAGACACAAGGGCAGGCCCCCTTCATTAATTAGGATAATCTATAGCAGCATTCTGTAATTAGGTCAATTAGAGGAGATGCTTTATATATGAAATGAGTGAGCTCTGTCATTTATCAGTAGGCTTTGCTCTGCTCTAGTACACAGAAGGACAGCTGTGAAATATGAAGTGTGACTTGTTCTGATTGCATGTTGAAGATTTGTACTGTGGATCCTGGAAACATGAAGCTGCCTGAGAAGATGGGCTTATTATTCGGGTAAAATGGATTCACTAGAAGGCTCTGTTATCTGTGTGCATGTGTTTTAATTGGGGGGGGTGGGTTTCTTATGGTTTAAAACTTTCAGGACAAGCTCTTTTTGGGGTGTTTCCTTCTTGGTCCTGGAATATTTTCCTGAAAACGTAACTGTTAGTGCAAATTATCATTGATGGTATATACTGCTACAATGGCTCAAAGGGGAAATGTCCCTTGCCCACACGGGTTGTCCCATGCATGCTGCAGTATAACTGATGGTGCATTTGGCATGCCTCTACATGGATGTGCTGTGAGCTCTTGAATGGAAGAGTTTGGGATTTTATTTTCTGTGCCTTTTGGTGTGAGCTTTTCTTGGCTCTAACCATGTCATATAATGCACCTTGCTGCACCACATGCAGTTACCTGCAAGCCCTTAAAATGGACCCCCTGCAGGGTATTTTGCTTAGTGATTTAAAGATGGGTCTACCTGTTTCACAAATGTAATGAATGCACCTATGTTGATACATATGCATTAAGTTTGAAGCCTGCAGAGTATGTGATTTAGTCAATCATGGGTGCAATACAGTCTCCCTCATCGTTACCTGTTTCATATATACGCATCACTAAGGAAATGGCCAGACTATCGGGATTTGCTTAAGGCCTGAGATGCTAAAAGCTGGCTTGTTTGCCTAACTTGTGGGGGCAGGGGGTAGAACCCTACTCAAGGCACATTCACACCATGGCTGTTTTTTGCATGGTATTGTGTTGCAGTACTTCATTTGAATGGTACCCCAAACGCATTCCTGGCTGCAATGTGCTCTAACTGTGCCACAATCTGTGGTACTGCAATACTGTGCAGCTGAAAAAAGTTGCTGTGGTTGAGTACATTGCATTTGGGAGGTGTTTGGGGTGCCATTTAAAAGAATGGCACTGTAACACACCTGCTGCATGGTAGGTGCATTGCACAATACCATGTGTTTAATCACATGGAACTGTGCAATTAATGCATGGCTTTGGTGTGAACTGGCCCTTAAAGTGTGGGGGGGGGGGGGCATGGGGGGAGTTTTAGGTGCTAGAGATACTTTAAAATCTCTTTATAGTGGAGTAGGCTAGAACCTTTGCCATATTTTTTTGTCCCTATTGCAGATTTTCTCACTTCCTGTCTGGTAAAACGTTTTACCCAGAGCAGGAATCTCTAATGGTACCTTAGATGGCTGTAAGGGCCAGCTAACACCATCTGCATCTGAAAAAGTGGCTGGCATAGCCCAAAGCTAGACATGGCAATTTGCCTTGTCATAGATGGACTTGGTTCCCACCATTGCAGTCCAGTGGTGTGAACCAAAAAAAACAATGGCATGTACAAGTCTGATGGCTGGATAAGGTTTCAGCTCAATATAACCCCCTTCTTGCACCCACATATTTATCCCCCCAACTTCTAACCCTGCCCCCCCTTGTTTCAGGTTCTAATATGTTTGAATCTACTTGAATATTTAGGCAGCATGGGCCATAAAGTAACTCCTTACTATGGGCAATGCCTCTAACCGTCAGGAGCCCCTTTGTCCATAACTCCAAGATCTATCCAGGGGCTGATCCTTTGTCGTGTTGGTGGGTCAAGAACTGCACAACCACCAGGACTGACAAATTGTCCTCTAAGCCAGGGCTCCAGTCCAGGAAGTAAATGCTGACCTTGTGTAATGCCTAAAACAATGATTTCCTTCTGGAGAGCTAAAAGCATTGTTGGGTAGGGAGGCATATGTGATTTCAATTGTGTAGTTGTACATGTTACTTGCACTTGACATCTATGACTAAGTGATGCTAGGTAGACTTTGGACAGGGCAGATAAAATCTAAATGCTGGTGAGTTTGTATAAAGCAGAGGTGTGGAACCTCTGGCCATCCAGCTGTGGTGAAATTACAAATCCCTTGAGACATTGCAAGATTCTCAGCCAGGCATGACTCCCAGAAACAGATGCATCATGGGGATTTTTAGTTTCACTCAAGCTGGAGGTTCCCCACCCCTGGTATAAGGATCAACGTGTTGCAAAGGACTATACCCCTAGCGGCCAAACTGGTTGAATAATTATGCTAAATATAAGTTTCAACCCTTTATAAATGGCACCCTTGTTGTAAGTCTCTCCAGGCTGTAACAGCATGTTGTACAAGGACTAAGGTTTTCCAAACCTAATGGCCATGGTGCCTCACTCCTCCATTGGAAGAACACCCCTGATTGGCTAATCAGTCTGCATTGCGCTTCCCCCACATGCTGAATGTTTCTATGTGTATTTCAGGTTGACGTTCCTAGCTGCTGTCCTTCATATGGGATTTGCACAGCCAAGCACTAACCCAGGTAACTGGCCGGAGTATACAGATGGGTATAAATGATGGCATAATGGTGAAGGCTTACAACTAACCATCTGTGTTTTTAGATTTCATAGTGTCCAGTTGCAGAAGATCTCAGATACAACATGATCTGCCTGCCGCATCTGTGTTCCAGAAATTCCTCAGATTTTCAGCTATTGGTAACTTTGTTTTTTTTTTTAATCTGCAGCTTATCTTATAGTGGTAGACAGTGTTTTAGCTTGGTGGGTATAATTGGGTTTTGGTAATGTTGGCACATTGCCAGCCAGGACCTCTATAAACACAAGCAGTTGCTTTGTCTGTCTGCCATATTGCTTGCAATGGAGAAAGTATTTGTGATCCTTAATGGATCTAAATGTGATTGGTAGCTCATAGAACTTGGTCTGGACAAAAACATGCACTGTCATCTGTGTGAGCACTGCAAAGGACTAGTGTTTTCATACACATAAGACCCCTCAAAAGTTAATAGTCTTAAATCTAGACCTCAGGGCC